ACGGACATTTCGCGCTCTAAGCCGCAAGACGTCCCCAAGAGACCTCATAACGCCCCCAAGAGGCCCCCGAGAGGCCCCAAGAGGCCCCCAAGAGGCCCCAAGAGGCCCACAGGAGGCCCCGAGGCTCTAGAAATACTGCCAAGAGGCCCTCGAGAGGCTTCCCAAGAGACCCCAAACGGCCTCTAAATTATCCCGGCAAAGCAACCTAACATCGATGTGTAGGAGCATATCTGGAAGCATTCCCCTTAAGATTCGGATGAGAATCCAGTTGTAGAATTCTGCTGTTCTCGCAGTCGTAGTCGCATTCGCGATGACAGTCTCAGTGGCAACGGCAGTCGCAGTCACAGGGCCCTCTGCCTCAGCCTGCCTCAGCCTCAGCCTCAGCCTGCTCAGCCTCAGCCTGCCTCTGCCTCAGCCTCAGCCTGCTTCAGCTAGCATCAGTCTGCCTTCAGCTCGGCCTCAGCTCAGGCCTGCCTCAGCATCAGCCTGGCCTCAGAGCCTCAACCTCATCCACCCTCAGCACTCTGCCTCTGCCTGCCTCGCATCAGCCTGCCTCGCCTCAGCTCAGCCTGCCTCTGCCTCAGCCTCAGGCAAGCTTCAGCTCAGCATCAGTCTGGACGTCGGCCTCGGCCTCAGCCTCAGCCTCAGCCTGCCTCAGCATCAGCCTGGCTCAGCCTCAGCCTCAGCCTGCCTCAGCCTCAGCCTCAGCCTGCTTCAGCCTCAGCCTCAGTCTGCCTTCAGCCTCGGCCTCAGCCTCAGCCTGCCTCAGCCTTGCGCCAGTCTGCCTGCAGCCACGTCTGGCCTAAGCCTGCCTCAGCCTAAGCCTGCCTCAGCCTCAGCCTCAGCCTGCCTCAGCCTCAGCCTGCCTCAGCCTCAGCCTCAGCCTGCTTCAGCCTCAGCCTCAGTCTGCCTTCAGCCTCCGCCTCAGCCTCAGCCTGCCGCAGCCTCAGCCTGCATCAGCCTCAGCCTTAGCCTCAGCCTGCCTCAGCCTGAGCCTGCATCAGCCTCAGCCTCAGCCTGCCTCAGCCTCAGCCTCAGCCTGCTTCAGCCTCAGCATCAGTCTGCCTTCAGCCTCGGCCTCAGCCTCAGCCTGCCTCAGCCTCAGCCTGCATGAGCCTCAGCCTCAGCCTCAGCCTGCCTCAGCCTCAGCCTGCCTCAGCCTCAGCCTCAGCCTGCCTTGGCCTCAGCCTCAGCCTGCTTCAGCCTCAGCCTCAGTCTGCCTCTGCCTCGGCCTCCGCCTCAGCCTGCCTCAGCCTCAGCCTGCATCAGCCTCAGCCTCAGCCTCAGCCTGCCTCAGCATCAGCCAGCCTCAGCATCAGCCAGCCTCAGCATCAGCCTGCCTCAGCCTCAGCCTCAACCTGCCTCTGCCTCAGCCTCAGCCTGCTTCAGCCTCAGCCTCAATCTGCCTTCAGCCTCGGCCTCAGCCTCAGCCTGCCTCAGCCTCAGCCTGCATCAGCCTCAGCCTCAGCCTCAGCCTGCATCAGCATCAGCCTGCCTCAGCCTCAGCCTCAGCCTCAGCCTCAGCCTCAGCCTGCTTCAGCCTCAGCCTCAGCCTGCCTTCAGCCTCGGCCTCCGCCTCAGCCTGCCTCAGCCTCAGCCTGCATCAGCCTCAGCCTCAGCCTCAGCCTCAGCCTCAGCCTGCCTCAGCCATCAGCCTGCCTCAGCCTCAGCCTCAGCCTGCCTCAGCCTCAGCCTCAGCCTCAGCCTCAGCCTGCTTCAGCCAAAGCCTCAGTCTGCCTTGAGCCTTGGCCTCAGCCTCAGCCTCAGCCTGCCTCAGCCTCAGCCTGCATCAGCCTCAGCCTCAGCCTCAGCCTGCCTCAGCATCAGCCTGCCTCGCCTCAGCCTCAGCCTGCCTCAGCCTCAGCCTCAGCCTGCTTCAGCCTCAGCCTCAGTCTGCCTTCAGCCTCGGCCTCAGCCTCAGCCTGCCTCAGCCTCAGCCTGCCTCAGCCTCAGCCATCAGTGCCTCAGCATTCAAAATGTGGCCCGGGAATGGAGTTCTGGGAACTCGAAGAACACGAAGTGGCCTACAGTTGGCTCCGGGCATTCAAAATCATGCCCAGGAATGGAGTTCTGGGAACTCGAAGACCACGAAGTGGCCTACAGTTGGCTCCGGGCATTCAAAATGTGGCCCGGGA